AACAACAAACAAAATTTTAAATGAAAGGTTACTGAGCAAGATACAGGGTGTCCCCCCAAAATGTATACACACTTTGAATGATTATAAACTCAGTGTTTATTAACATACAGCTCATTTTCAAAATTTAAAAGAATCTACAGAAATGAATAATTTTTTTGTGTCAATGCCTGTTTTCAAACTGATGACCATTCTGGTCCAGACACTGCTGATAACACGAACCAATGGAATCTCAAACATGAAGAATCATTTCATTCAGTATTTGTGTGCCCTCAATTTGTCACTGCTGCTTGTTTTGTACTGTAAATTTTATCTTTTATGCTTCCCCATAAAAAAAAGTCTAGTGGCACTTTAGGATAAATTTTCTTTGTTCAAAGCTTAGTCTAGCTTCACCCATTATTTCAAATCTGTTAAACCTGAAAAGGAGTGAAAATTAAGTGAGTTAAATTAAGCTGTTAGTGTATACATTTTTTTGGGATACCCTGTATTTGCAGACATCACCTCATTCCCCTTTAACTGCAGGTGTTTGCTATGTCTGAGAAGGGGAACACAGACCTATTAAGGCCTTACCCAATAAGAATACATTGTTAAGAGTGTGTTAACTCAATCTATTTTCCATGCCAAGAAAAGTCAGTTTACCTGGTGCAGTCAGGGAGTCAAAGACTCCAGGTGGGACATTTTACCTGAGGGTTCTCATAACACCAGGTCACTATGGCTCCGTGAAGCCACTGCTCAAACACCTGGTATTACAGGCATTATAAGGTATCACAAAGTGTGATGCCATGGAAGGAGGTGTTCTGTCCCTGTGATCTTGGAAAACAGTGAAGGTTAAGAAATACCCCTGAAAACATATAATATTATATTAGTTTCAGGTGTACAACATGATGATTCCATATTTGTATATATTGCAAAATGATCACCACAATAAGTCTAGTTCACATTTATCACCATCCATAGTTACAATTTTTGTTCTGCAATGAGAACTTTTATGCAGTACAGTATTGTTAACTACAGTCATCATGCTGTATATTACATCCCCACGATTTATTTCCTATGTATGTTTTTTTGTTTATGCATGCGTATATGTAATATATTTTTAAGAATTTTTAATTGATTTTTGTAGAGAGAGAGGAAGGGCAAAGGAGAGAGAGAAACTTCAATGTGAGAGTGAAACATCGATTAGTTGCCTCTAGGGATGGAGCCCGAAACCCAAGTATGTGCCCTGATGGAATTGAACCCACACTTGCAGTGCATGGGACAACACCCAACTCACTGAGAGGCACACCAGCCAGGGCTGTAGTATTTTTTTAATTTTAAAAATCTTTTTATTAATTTGAGAGAGAGAGGAAGGGGGGAGAGGGGGGAGGGATATCACTTTGTTGTTCCACTTATTAATGCATTCCTTGGTTGATTCTTGTATGTGCCCTGATCACGGATGGCGTATCAGGATGATGCTCTAACCAACTCAGATAACCAGCCAGGACACGTGTATGTAATATTTTTAAGTGAACTTATTCTGACAAAACTTTATTTCAACAGTAATTATGTTTCATATGTAGTATGCCAGCCCTAAAGGTTTCAAGATCTTTTGGTAACTTAAAACATATTTACACTAAATTAAGTATATAAGGTATGCAGGATGTGTTTTTGTTAAGGAAAAAGTAATTTTGTCCTAAAGTAAAATGGTTGTTCCAGAATGAAAAATATGCAAGTGGACAGTAGACAAAAAGAGGGGTTCTTTTTAAAAAAATTGATTTCAGAGAGAGGTAGGGAGGAAGGGAGGGAAACATCACGGGATTGGACCCGCAACCTTGGGCATGTGCCCTGAGCGGAATTGAACCTGCCACCCTTTGGAGCACAGGATGATGCTCCAACTGAGCCACACCTTTCTACCCTTTTTTGTCCCTGGGCTAGATCAAGACACAGATGGCATGCAAATTGTATTTTCTGATATAAAACTCAGAAGCAAGGATCACTTGACAGGCAGAATGATGATTCAACATGATCCTGACAGCCTGGGACACTGGCCTTAATGAGCAAGATGAAACTGTTTTGCCCATTGGTACACATCTAGAGGAATAGGTTTGATTGTGTGTGGGAGGACACCTCTGAGGAGGGTGTTTGAAGATGCATGTTCAGAATTACTGTCAAAGAAGAGTTGATGGGACCAGAGATGTTTAAACAGGAGAAGCGTTAACAAAGGGAGAACCTAATAAGCATCTTCATCTATTTTAGGGGCTGGCACATAGAGAGGGATTACGGTACAGATTACCAGTGGTCGATAGTTAAAGGGAAGCAGAACTCAATTGAAAAATGCATTTTCTGCCAGACCGGTGTGGCTCAGCAGTTGAGCATTGACCTGTGATCCAGGAGATCAAGGTTCGATTTCCAGTCAGGGCACATGCCCGGGTTGAGGGCTTGATCCCCACTGGGGGCATGCAGGAGGCAGCCGATCAATGACTCTCTCATCATTGATGTCTCTCTCTCTCTTTCCCCCTCTCTCTTCCTCTTTCTGAAATTAATAAAGCTATATTTTTAAAAAAAGAAAAGTGCATTTTCTAAAACTGTGCCTGCCCACAGACAGAATGAGCTTACAAGGTCATTGTAAGTGTGCAATAAGGACTAGGTGGCCATTTGTCTGCAATGGTAATGATGAGGAGGATGGCCCCAAAATAATAAAATATTCTGCATTAAGATCTGACAAGTCTAGAATTCCCACTTTTTGTGCACGCATAGTTTCTAGATCTTGCTATTTTTTCTCTTTTTTAGATTTGATACTTTTAAAAGTATTTACTAGCTTTTGTAGAGAGAATGGCTTCAGGTAATAGGAGAAAATAAATCACACAGCCAAATACACCAAGTTACTACACTTAAAAAAGGAAGCCTTAATATTGATAATATCTTAACATTTATTATAATTGTGTACATTAATGTGGATTAAGCAAGTATGATTAAAAACATTAGGCAATTAGAAAGCAAAAGTGTAACGCTTCTGGAGTCTGCAGAATTCCATGCCTTTTTAGAAATGAAAGAGGTTGTTTTGGATTGAAATCAATATTGATCTTGTAAGCTTTCTGTCAGTATCTTGCATGTTGGTTCTAAAACTCACTGAAAGGCAAAGTATGTCTTAAAGGTAGGGAAGCCACCCTATCTTGGACCTCTTCATCCTGCACTCTATCAGCTGAGCTTGTACCAGGACTCAGGGCTGGTACCTCCCACCCAAAGGAGTGACCTTTCTTTCCCTTTCACTCATTCACTCAGCACCTATGTGTCAGTGCCTACCATGTGCCAAGTCCCATGCTGCAGGCTAGACTTTACAAAGACCAGCTTATATTTAGTGTCAGTAATTGTACCACTTATTTCACTTGCTCCAGAGCAAATCTGATGCACATCTATGCAAATAAATGAATGTTCCTCTCTAATCTTTTGGCAGGAAGAACAAGTGCACCAGCCAGTGTGCATAGGGCTCAGAAACTGGAGAGAGATGGAGACATTTTCTAATTAAATCAAGAGAACAGGCCTTCATTTTTCATTAGAAACATTCTCAGGTTGTTCCTCCTCTGGAGGAGCTTACACAATGATGCTGTTCCCAAAGGCAGAGAAGCACAACTGAACCTGAGCAGAGCATCACTGGCCTGCATCTGTCCAGCCAGTGAATGGGTTTCCACTAGCATGGGACAGAGTCTGCACTGGAAAAATAGGCCACTGAAGGCCCTACGCTCAGATTGGCTAGCCCACTGGAGCTTTCCCTGGGTTGACAAACTCCCCTTTGGGAAGGTCTCTGAGTCAAATCTCTTCCCAGCTGAGAGCACCTCAGTTCAGAAGTGTTTTCATAGAAAGAGGAGGAGAGGGAAGAGGCGCAGTTTGGCTCTTTTGGTACTTCATGGGTGGGACCCACGATGCCCAGAGCAGTTTGATTTCAGACCTTCCCCTCTTTGTCAGAGTGTGCCTCAGGAGAGGACTGAGGGGGTTGTGTTATGTGGTAAGATTAAGTAATCTCTGCACAGTGATTGGCACATACTCAACACTAAATTAATGCTGGCTGTTGTGTTTACTATTACTGGAGACAGACAACAATGGTTCTGCATAATATAATGACCATCTTTCCAAGTTCCAATATCCTCATCTGTAAACGGGATAAGAATGCCCTTTGCACAGAATTAGTATGGGTATTAGTGCCATCACTTTGTGATAGTGTCTGGCATGTAGTAAGGCCTCAAGAAATGTTAGCCGCCTTCTTACTTTAGAAGATTTCTATGTAAAGTTTAGGGACTGGGAATTGAGGGCAAAGGTATTAATCAGCGATCAAGATTCAGACACAGATGTTCCTTTGGTCAGAAGCCTCCTAACAATCACATCCTATAGAATTTAAACCAAATCGTGTAAACTTTCTAATACCTGTCCACATGCCTGCAGGAAAAATAAACTCAACTATATAGTAAAAGGTGGGTAGAAGGAAGTAATTAAAATCTACTACGTAACTCAATCAAAAGCAACTAATTACTTTTAAAAGTATATGGAAAGTTTAAAAATGTATATATGTCAAATAGACAAGCTAAACATTGGCCTATGCCAATCTCTAGCATTCAATGCCTGCGATTTACCCACCAGAGATCAACAGTCTTCAACCTGGCCCCTCAGAAGCTTCAGGGGTCTCCTTGTATAAGTCCCAAAGGTACACTCAGAGCTGTGAACCAAAATGTGATTTGCTATCTGTCCTAAGTCATTACACACTGAATGCAATGCTCCTGCCTATGCGTATCATACCAGGCCACCTAAACTCATCAGGAAGCCGACATACCTTAGAGAAGCAAAGGTGGAATTATTGTTCAATCCTCTTTGCTTGAGCTGGAAATAAGATCATGGATGTGAAGTGCTTTCTGACCTATAAAAAGCTACACACACAAGTAATTATCATAGCATTATTAACATATGCTATAGGATGTAAGCAAATTCAACTTGAGAAGGGCAAAAGCATGAAGAAATCAAATGGTGAGGGAAGAGGAGCCAGCAACTTGGGACAACTGGGGACGACCAAACTTGTCCAGGAGTCCTTAGCTTCTTCTCAGCCTGAGGGAGCTAAAAGAAAATAGAAGCAGCCATGAGATTAGAAATACACATCCAATCCAATGACCAGTCAGAAGCTCTTGGGGTGGGTGAGACTGCTTCAGGCATCAGGAGTACAGTGCAGGCTAATGTGCCTTCTGGAGAGAAGGCAAAACAGGCTTGTAGCTGGTGGAACACCTGATTGCAACACATTTCCATTGCCTTCAAGGGAGATATTCTGCTCTGTGCTTCTAGCTGAGTAGGTACTAGAGATAAAGGGCTGCCAGGATCTGGAAGGTAGTGTCCTATGGGCACTGGATCTCATGCAGCTCAGACAGTGGGGTCAATTCTGCTGGCTTTTAGCACGCAAACCTGTCTGCAGTCAGTGTTGACAATGTGGCCCAGAGGCTGCCCAAGGAGCCCTTCCTGGTCAGGCAAGCCCCAAGATGGCACCATTTCCCCCCACATATGCCTACTTATCTGGGCTTTTTACCTGCTGCTGCCTCTCTGCCCCCAGCTCCATCTTGTTTTACTGAACACCTTGGCTGTCGGGTTCTGATCTTATGCTATACGAGCAATGGTGAAGGTGGCCCAGGGGCCTATCCCAGAGAGCCCTGAACCTGAATCTGAAGTTCGGGGTTGAGGTCCTGATTATGCCATCTACCACCTAGGTGTTTCCACAAGTCCCTTTCCTTTCTAGGTCTTTATTTCCTTGTCCCCTAACGAGGCTAACAACACAGCACTGGTTGGCTTCCCAGGGCAGCTAGAGGGCTCAACTGAGGTGCTGCATGGAAGGTGCTTCTTGAGAGGAAGAGACTACAACCCCTGCAAATTGAAAGTTTTCTTGGGGAGGGTCTTTCCACCTAAGACTTCAAAGTATCATAGGGTAGCCTGGCCAGCATGGCTTTGGTTGAGCATCGACCTACGAACCAGGCAATCAGGACACATGCCCGGGTTGCAGGCTCCATCCCCAGTGGGGGCCGTGCAGGGCAGCCGATCGATAACTCTCTCTCATCATTGATGTTTCTCTCTCTCTCTCCTTTTCTCTCTCTGAAGCAATAAAAACATTTTAAAAAAAAGTATCATAGGGCATAGAGACAGAGGACTTGGGGCCCCCTGAACATACAGGCTAAGAGAAAAAGAAGTGTCCTGGGTTGTGACTCAGAGAGAGACGAGGGCACATTTATTCCCTCTGATAATCCTGGCTGTTTGGCCTTTGGGGTGCCAGCACCCACCTAGAAGAGCTTCTCATAGCATTTCCCACAGTGGATGATATCACGGTGAATGAAGATCTGATCCAGGAGCTCACCCATTGGTTTATTGCAAATCCCACACTGAAAGAGAAAGCAAGCTAGAGATCAACATTCAAGTGAAGTGACATAAATGAGTGGAGTGGGGAGGGAACACCTGACCAAGGTAGGCAGGTAGACACTGAGCAGAAGGCACACCCTGGACTTTGAAGCAGACAATTAAAAAATGGCAGAAGACAGATACAAAGCACTTAAGCATATAACGTTAAGCATATAACTCACTGTATTATGTTTCTGTCATTTTAGTTACTGTGGACCAGGACTTGAACCTCAACTTAGCCAACAGATGTTGCTGATCATTTGGGGGTCACCTCTAGGAACACATAAAAAAATCAACAGTCTGGCTTGCACTGTGCTTCACACTGTGGAGAACAGGGACTCTGAAGAGTTGTTATTATGCTGCAGCCATGGGTATCCTCTCTTTTTTTAAATCCTCACCTGAGGATGTTTTCACTTATTTTTTTTAGAGAGAGAGAAAAACATCAATCAATTGCCTCCCATAAATGCCCCGACCGGGAATCAAACCCACAACCTTTTGGTGTATGAGATGATGCTCCGCTCCAACCAGCTGAGCAACCGGGCCAGGGCTACATGTTTATCTTATATAGTGCTCTTCATTCCTTCCTGTACATCCATGTTTCCCATATGGGGTTATATTTTTTCCACCTAAAAAAATTGTTTAAATATTTCTTTTAGTGTGGGTCTACCAGCAACAAATTCTCCCAACTTGTGTTTGTCTGAAAATGTCTTTATTTTACTTTTATTTATTAATTTATTCATTAAAGTTATTATTTATTTCTCTTGGCATAAATATTCCACTGTCTTCTAGCTTTCACCATTTCTACAGAAAAATTGCTGTTATATTGTTGCTTCTTTGAAAATAATGTTTTTTCTACTTTCTGACTGATTTTAAAATATTCTATCTTTGTGTTGGGTTTTTAGTGGTTTGCCTCTGATGTAATTAGGTGTGGTTTTCTTTGTATTTCTTCAAATATTATTGGATAATTCTCTCTCTCTGCTTCTGGGATTCTAATTATGTACATACATGTTAATCTTTCCCACAACATCCCATATGTATCCTATGTACTCTACTGTATTTCCTCCCTTTTCTTTCTAATGACCTGACTTCTAGTTTTCTAATCCTCAGTTCTGCTCTAATTTTCAAATTAAACTCATTTTTTGGATTCTTAATTTCAGTAATTATTTATTTTGCTTCTAGAATTTTCATTTCACTTTTATAGGTTCCA